TAAATCTCTCGTCAAGCGGTCACAGAGGCTCCATTCACACACCCCGGCGGCCATTTTTAAACTGGTCTCGTTCCCTCGGCGACAATAACTTGTAAGGCCCGGTCTATTGTTTGAGGTCCCAATTGTTATGGTCCAAGTACACACAAAATGTATAATAACAATTGTTATTATTGCTAATCAATCTACTCTACTCATTCACTTTATTCAGAAAAGATTTGTTCGTTCACTGCTTGCTGTGTTACTTGTGTCAATATTTTATAGTTTAATTGAAGAGTTTTATGGCACTTGCAACACAATAAGATCATATAACATTGGCCCGATGTGACGAAGATTAAAGGTGTTACAAGAGAATAACACACACACAGATCTACATGAAAAATTAGCGTCGGGGAAACTAACTCAGGGGTCTGTTAATGCCGTTTGTTCTCGCTTGTACCTAACCCAAGCAACACACAGCACTCACACCACTCACACCACACTCACGAACTTGAGCACACAACTGATGATGTTTTATAATACGAGAGAGAGAGATGAGAGAGAGAGAGAGAGATCTCCCCTGAGGTAGGGGTGGCATCTTTGCTTTGAACTTGCTTATTGTCACCTGTCCACATTTCTACCACACAGTTCGGTCAATTTTACTGCATAGATGTATATCATATGCCTAGATCTATATAATAATACATGGCACGTCAAATGTGTTGTCCATTCAGTGATGTTATTGAAGATTAGTCATTGGGTCCGCTGAAAGTGGGAAATGGTTACAAATCCACTCCAAATATTCCAGACTTTCCCATTGGTCAACTTCTGCACAGATGTTCAGTCACAGAATACAAAACAAAATTTTAAAACTATATATATATATATATATATATATATATATATATATATTATATATATATATATATATATAATATATAGGCTTAACTGGAAGAATAAAAGAAACAAAGGCAGTTTAGTTGAAACATTATTTATTTACTTCTTGAGAAAACAAATTCAAATTTAAAAGAATGAGGAAAACAGTTTCACACATCATCATCATCATCATCATCATCACTTTCAGCCTTGGCAGGGTATATATAGGCCACATACAAGCTCCATCCATTTATATCTGTCCTGGGCCGTCCTTCTAATTCTAAGCTTGTTTCAGTTTCACACAATTGCATCCAACCCAATCAGCGTGGGCCCCAGCTCACAAAGCTAACAGTACATACATATCATGTACTGTAGTTAACGGATGAGCTGGGGGATTATAATAAAATGTACTACTATGTACAAAGAAAGGACAAAATAGCCATCTGTCATTCTATTAAACTATTACAAAAAACGCTTACTTCAAAGTAAAAATGTAAAATAAAAATGGTAATGCTGTTTATAAAAATCAGTTGAACTGCCCCAAGGACTTAATTGTTCTAAAGCTAAAATCAATGACAGTTTCAATTCTTGTATTCAATAAAATATTTGAAGAGCACAGGGGAAAACCGACTGTAGTCACAAACTGGAAATTGTGAGGGTGTCAATTTTAAAAGCTCGTGGACTTATAACTTCATATTTGTTTGACTGGTGGTTTATTGTTAAGTGTTGTTGAATGGGAAATCTAACAACAATAATGAATCAACAGCTGAACACAAATACAGTTATGAGTCAACAAGAATTCAAAATTGGTACCCTCACAATTTTCAGTTTGTGACTATAGTCGGGTTTCCCCTGTAGTCTTCATAATATGTATCTAGGTCTGAGTAGCTTGTTGAGACATGTTGTGATGCACAGAGGCAAATAACAAACCTAGACAGACAGCGAGTACATGATGAACAATGATTATACTTAATAATAATAGTAATAAAAAAATAAATAGCCTTTGTATAGTGCATACCCCTGCTCAACAGCAAGCTCTATACTATAGTATTACCCCAGCAGACCATAGAACACTCAGAAACATTCTCAGCTTCCCAGGAAGCATACAGTGCAAGCAGCTGATTAAGCGCTCAAACACTAACAAACTGACAAGATCTTTCGTTGTCTATAGCCGGGTACCCATTCCCACCTGGGTGAAGTGAGGAAAACTCGTGTAAAGTGCCATTCCAAAAGACACAGCGACAGGCCCCTGACGGGATTCGAACCCACGACCTTACAGTTGCGAGTCTAAAAGTCTAACCACTAGGCCAGCGATGCTACACTTGAACAAACCTCAATAGATAGGCTGGTGTAGTATTAAACATTTTTAAAAAACGCATAGGTGATTTTTACACCCCCATCAATACAATTTAGATCATTTAGGAGGCAGGCTTCCCACGCTGCCTGTCAGAGCCAACCTGCATTGAGAGGTACTCAGCATCCCAACAGAAAGACAGAGATAACTCGATAAAAATTTGCCCTACTCAAGAATCAAACTTGGGTCTTCTACATGCAATAGTGAAATGTCTAGTCGCTACACCACAGATGCTGGTGAAGTATAAGTCAAGCTGGCATGAAAACTGATATATTGCGCTAGGGATTTGTGTGGCCTTCTGTGTCTTGACAGATGATCTTAAAGCATTGTACACGATACAGCTTTGCCTGGGTGGTAGACTTACATAGAGCGAGTAGATGGCTATTCTCCTCCAATCAAATCTTGACTTCCTTCAATTCTTCGTTTGTTTTAGTAGAGGTGTTACGGCGCTCGCAACTGCATAAGGTCATAAGAGCGCCAGTCAAATTCTTCAATATGTTTGAAAGAGTAAGGATTGTCTTAAAATTTAACAAACTATGTGATAGGATTTTACCCCCCCCCCCCCCCCCCCACCCCCAAGAAAACCAAACAAATAAACAAACAAACAAAAACATGTTAAACATGAATTGCGTATGTTCCCACAAGCAGAGAGATGTCGTTGTGTTCTAATCAATATTCATATGTTTAAGAAAGTGGTGTGATTCAAGAATCAATTTTTCCAGTTCCAGGAAAATCTGAGCTTCATTGGACTTCTGAACCAAATAAAGCAGGACAGAAAAATATACGAGGCAATATCAAAAGTTTCTGTACTTGTCCATAAAAGAGAAAGCTGATAATTCGTAACCCTTCAACAAAGATAATTCGTAACCCTTCAACAAAACTTTCAGAGTTGATCTCCTACCATGCACTACAGTCCAGCTCGCACATAGTGCAATAAGCAGAACACAGGAATCTTTTTGTTTTGAAAGAATCTTGTTATGTACGTATTTTAAATACAAAGACAATACATATCATATTGACGAATGAATTACGGACCTAAAAATCTGTTTGCTTTATGCATGTTTTGCTATTTACATGTTCGGTATGTGTGCATACTGGACTGTATAATAGCAATGCTAGGACATATTCTGTACGCTAATATAATACACGAGTCATAATAACATCGGAGACAGGTGAGAAGCAAATACCACTCAAGCCCCATAGCACAATGGGATAGGACAGAGTGCAAGAATCTGAATATATTCACAGAAACAAAGAAAAGAAACTTTAGAAACTCAATAAAAAAACTGATTAATTTATAAACAAGAAAAATCAAAGAGAAGAAAGAAACTTGGATTCGACCAAAACATTCCTTTCATTAAGAAAACAGCGACGAAAGCGAAATGAATCGATCATTCCTTTCATCGAAAGGGGGCCAAGCTAATAATAATATATTCTTTAAAAAAATAAAAATAAGAAGAATAATAATAAGAATAATAAAAATAGTAATAATCATAATCATGGTAATAAAAATATTAGATGGCATTTATTTAGTGCTCTATACCATACAAGTATAACCTCTGAGCGCTTATATAAAAGAAAGCACACCTTGATGAACACCACGTCTCCAACCCTCCATGCGATTAAATCTACATTCTGATGAGATGAAGAATGCAATGTGTAAGGATTAAAGTAAAACACGTTACTCTTTTAGGACAAGTCCTGGGCAAATAATGTGAGTTGTTCACGGGACTAAAGAATGAAGGTTATTTCATGGTTGTTTATCACAAATCAATATTGCAAAAACATTTTTTTAAACAACAAAAAAACAACCCCATACAACCAGCTGTCATTATCATGACACAAGAGGGGACATTTTGTGAGTAAAATCTTCAGATGGACAACACATTCCCTGTCCAGTTATTACGATGAATAAACTAATATGGCCACAAAAAAAGGTAACAGATGGTAGCAAAAGAAGAAACAAGAACCACGCATTGCAAGAAAAGAAAATATTTTTGAAGAAGATCAGAGATAGCGGGCATAGAAGAAGTCAGTTCAAATGTTGGTTCCCTCAAGAGCTGAATGGGATATCGACAAGAGAGGAAATACGGCAGGAACTATTGGTAAAGAAAACCTCATGTTTGAACCTCTTTTCTTTTCTGTTTTTTTTTTTAGTAAGAGTCTTATTGCAACACAATAAGGTCATATAAGTACCGAAGATTAGAGGTGTTACAAGACAGTAACAAAAACAAAAAAGAAGGAGGAGAGATAAGGACGATGGATGTTTGATAGGAACGAAGGAGCAAACCACACCAGAGCACCCGCCAACCACCCACATACTGCGGGGAAAAAAAAAGAAAATCTGTAAAACAAACCTCACGTTTGAACCTCATACTTCAGCATCTTGGGCAAGTTCATTAAAAACTACACCAGAGGCAGTTGGTGAAACTGAATAAAGGACAAGTGCTTAGTGAGAGTTTTACAGCACAGGCAACACAAATTGGACATATCAGTGCAGAAGATTAGACGTGTTACTAGAGAGGGTAACATACAAACAAAAAGGAGGACAGTAAGGACGAATGATGTTTGAAGGTTTGATAGAAAAGAAGAAGCAAATCACACAAGGGCAACCACCCACCATCCACAATGAATGAGTAATGTGTAGATTGTCTCAAATATGACTATATAAAGTGACTATAGACTACAGAAATGTGGATGGTTGGTGGGTGCTATGGTGTAGTCTGCTTTTTCTTTCCTGTCAAACATCTATCATTTGTATCTCACCTTCTTCTTAATTTGTGTTTGTTACTCTCTTGTAACATCTCTAATCTTCAGCACAAAATGACCTTATTGAGTTGCAAGTGCCGTAAAACACTTCCTAAAAGACTACAGAAAGTACAGGAGAGTACTAGGACCAGTCAGAAGTACTCAACCATGTGTGTAAATCCCAGTAATGTACGCTGTGAGAAACAGCTCACCCTGAGACATAGACAGAGGGTGAAAAATGACAGCTCCAGACAAAAAGGAAAGAAAAATGTTTCTTTGAGTACATTTGAGAAATGACATACATAATCTCAGAACATTCATGGAAAATTTTAAAAACCAAGATTTACATGCAATGAGTATATCACAAAATATTAACACTTTGTCAAGATTCAAGTACAATAGCTCAAACTGAATTGTCGTCTATCTGGAATAAAAATCTTGTCTAGTCTTTTTTCTTGTCGTCCTGAGAAGGCAATTCCCCGATGCGGCGGTAAATTTTCTCCTCCTTTCCTTCCTTCATCGCAGCGTAGCGGGCAGCAGTGAACAAAAAGTCACTCAGTCTGAAGATGAAGAAATAGACACATGAGAGGAGAAAACAGAAGAAATACTTTCAATATATCTTCCTCTTTAGATATAAGTCGTGAACAAAAAGTCACTCAGTCTTTTTCTAGTTTTAGTAAGAGTTTTACGGCACTTTCAACACAATAAGGTCATATAAGTGCCCAAGATTATAGAGGTGTTACAAGAGAGTAACAAACAAAAAAAAGAAGGAGGGAAGATGAAGACAATAGATGTTTGGTAGGAAAGAAGGAGCAAACCATACCAGAGCACCCGACAACTACCCACCCACTCAGTCTGAAAATGAAAAAATAGACACATGAGAGAGGAAGACAAAAAAAATACTTTAGACGTATCTTTCTCTTTAGATGTAGGCAGTGAACAAAAAGTCACTCAGTCTGAAGATGAAGAAATAGACAAGTGACAGAAGAAAACAAAAGAAATACTTTAGGTGTATCTTGGGGAACGGACAAGAAGAAAAAGAAGATGTTCTATCACAGCTGCCTAATGAGTCAGCCCACCAACAGAGACATACAGGTGAACAGCCAGAAACAACCGACCAAAGAGCCCAGTATGGTCTAAAGATTCACATCTTTATCTTAGAACAGTATTTTGCACTTCACATGTTTCCAGAAACAGGGAGGTTTCTCAACAAGACCATTGTTCTGTGCAATTTTGTGTTCAGTTTCTGTCTATAGGGTACTAAACATCTGGCACCGGAAAGAAATAAGACCGAGACATGGGGCCAAACAAAAAGGAAGGAAAATTGACCAAGATGGACGTAAACCATCTCTCCCCTGACCACTGCACCAAGTTTGAAAGAGAAGGACAAGCAGTGACTATAGTTGTGGGAAATAATAAAACTAAAACATTGCAACGATAACAATTTACATTGGTAGCAGGGTGGTATTCCATTCTTTAGCCAGCTTTCATTAATTTCTTTAGTACGGTTCAACTTAAACATTTTACTGCCTTCAGTCACATAAGAACGCTCTCCTTCACCTTCAAACACGCATCCATGTTCATGAAATCATTGTTTGAAAGCAACTTAATATAGCAATGAAATTCAGACTTCTGTGAGTGCTCTATCATACCTGTTAACGAACTTCAGAGTTTCTGGGTCAATTTCCTCGTCTCTGACAAGAGGGGCCATGCTGTGGGAGAACAGAGAACAATATCATCAGGGCACGATGGTAGAACAGGCAGCGGTGTTTATTAAAAGTTGTCATGAGAGAACTTTGACAGTGTCCAGCATGCTATGAGAAAGAGTTTACCAAAATTTGTGCAAGCCTGGGTGTGTTCTGATGTCTTTACAAGAGACACAATTCACATTAGCTTTTTAGTTTTAGTAAGAGTTTTACGGCACTTGCAACACAATAAGGTCATATAAGTACCAAAGAATAGAGGTGTTACAAGAGAGTAACAAACATAAAAAAAGAAGAGAGATCAGGACGATAGATGTTTGATAGCAAAGAAGGAGCACTCCACACCAGAGCACCCGTCAACCACCCACACATAGCTTTAATCATAGCTCAAACTTGCTACTCAGTGCTAGCCATGTTTCAAGATGCAAGACTGATAATCTGAATAAAGTAGAAAAAGAAGGAAAAATAACAAAAAGAACTTGACTGAGCTGAAATAATTTTTGCATCAACTTGAATCCCTTCAGTACACAGTCAGGCACACACATAGAAAAGTTGGCGGGACATGGAAATCTTTTCACATTATGTACAAATTTTGTTATGTACGTGTTTTAAATACGAAGCAGAGTATACAAATACAAGTACAAGAAAATATTTCAGGGGATCTGAAAATCTATTTGTTGTATGCATGTCTCGTTATGAGCATTGCAGACTGTATTCTATTTATAGTAACAAACAACTGACCTGCGCTCAGCTCTCCGGCAAATAGACCTGGCCAAATGGAGACTGCACGCTGATTTGCCACCAGACTGAAAGCAGATCATTTGACAGAATTCAAATGTAAGCCTTCGTTTAAGATTACTGCACAAATTCTTCATACAAATAGAGAATAAAAGTTTTCAACTTATCTGTAACTTTGAGAATCAAAGAATTTGTTTCTAAACGAAAGTAGGCCTATAGAATAAACTACTGCTCAGAACCTCTTCACTGTGAAATATTATAATCATGACAACAAATGGCAAAGGAAATTTATCTTTCAATTTTGACTTTACTTTCAGCTGAAAAGTTTTTCAAACAATCGCATTATCAGTTTACATATGAAACATCTACATTTTTAAAATATGAAACATAAATCTAAAAATGTACAAATTTTTATGTGAATGGGCCCATCTTGGTTCGAGAGAAATACAATTTTAACTCTTTAGACCCCATCGGACGGTGGGAGTGTCCGATACTAGGGACAACTGTTTTGTTTTATATAGTGCTAGTTTTTGCTTGTTTTTCGGAACTATTCCCCAACCAAGCTTTTAAGTAATGACTAAGCCTTTGTTTCCGCTATTTAGAAGTTGGAGTCAAGCTTTTGAGGTTATAATGAGACATAGTGCACCAGGTTTAGGTGACTGCAGAAAAAACTCAGGGGAAACGGTAGAAAAAGCTCAGGGTTGAAAGAGTTAAGTTTCTCAACAGCACAAAACATTCCCACTCAACATACCGGGAGGATGAAGTTTTTCAGCGGAGGCAACTCCTCGGTCATCTCATCAATCCAGGACTCCATCTCGTGGATAAACTTGTGGTTGAACTTCACTTTTTCTGAGAAGTGTTGAAGAAAACTAGACATGAACAGTTATTGAGGGAAACAAAATTAAGGAAAACTGATAAAAGATTGTAAAAACACACACACTCACATGCACACACACGCTCACACACACACGCACACAGAGACACACACACACTCACACATACACTCAGACACACACACACACGCACATGCCCACACAATAAACCCAGGACACTTTTGTAATTGTTGTTACAATAACTTATAATGTCCACATTGCTGAACAAACGTGTCACGACACAGTGGAATCAGGTGCTCATCTGCAGTTGCGAGTGCTGTAAAACACTTTACAAAAACAAGGCGCTCATCAAATTTTGGGGATATGGAGTAATTGGGACCATCATAAAGGTAGTTCATTTGTCCTGCTTTGGGTAAAAAAAATATTCAGGAGAAGAGGGGGGAGAAGGAGAGGGAGACAGAGAGGGGGAGAGAAAGAGAGGGAGAGGGGAGGGAGAGGGGAAGAGAGGGAGGGAAGGAAAGAGAGGGAGGGAAGGAAAGAGGGAGAGAGAGAGAGAGAGAGAGAGAGTGAAAATCAGAGAGAGAGGAAAGAGCGCAGAGCTGGAAGCAAAAAGAAAGAACCCCCCACCCAAAGTTTTCAGTATGTAGCCAAATACATGAGCTATGGGCACAGAACTGCTTACGAAGATGTGCATTCCTCGCAGAGCTCAGCGGGGTGGCAATGTTTGATCCAACATCTTGTAACACGCACTGAATCTAGAAAAGCGAGAGAAAAAAGAAATACGAAAAGCTATTAGAGCTTAATGATAATGTCATTTCTTAAAATAAAAAGCTTTGGGGATTTGTCCATTGCTTTCTAAATGGTGTTACAATAGACGAGACAGACCATATGAAACATGGTGTTGTGAATAATTTATATAAGCATAACAATTTATATTAAATTAGACAGAATTTTATAGCTATTGAGATAGTATTTATGATCAGTCAGCCATAAAATAATCACTTGCTGGCAGGATAAGATAACACACTGAAAAGTAGAAGGAGCAGACCACACTAAATCTCCCACCCACCATCATCTGACCTTGCATGGCTACTTTAATTACTGACTCCCGGACCAATTTTTTATCTCCTTCCTCCCCCCAACCACTACCACTTCATGCCTTGTGAAAAAAAATAAAAAAAATAACACAAAGCCATATAATCTACACCAACACACACAGGCAGCACATTTCCACCACCATCAGATTGAGAGGCAGAGGATAATGAGATGCAAAGTGAACTGGTGTCAGGTTACTGCAGCCCATTAATTCATTAACCTTTCCATCAAAGATTCAAAGCGTGACCAAAGAGGAACAGGCCCAACCATCTAACCATCTGTTACAAAGAGCATGTTGAGCTACATATCAAAGAGATCTGTGACATTATGTAAAATTCTCCCCAAAATGTGTTCAGATCTTTATCTTAAAAAAATAAAATAAATAAAACACTAAAATACACGAAAGAGGGGAGTTGGAAGGGAAAGATGTTAAATTTACATCTAGGGATGTTGGCAAAAAACAGTTGATAAATCTAATGATATTTTAGGAAAAAAAAGAAAAACCTATGTAATGGTGCCCTTAACCTAGGAGCTCTTCACAAAACTGAGTGGGAGATGAGGAAGCTATGAGAAAGGAGGAGTGCCTCGTTTCTGTATCATCAGGACACGGGGGTGAACGGGAACATATTCTGTTATGCACAAAAAAATCTCAGACTTGAAGGGGGATCTTTTCATACTAATTATATAGACTCATTATCAACTTAGTTGTATTTAGCTTGACTCTGCTGACAGATGGAACAAACAGCGATGTCACCATGTGTGACCAAAGTGTCAAGGCACGGTGGAATCAGGCACTTGTCAGTTTTGGAACTTATTTATAGAGTTTTTAATATCATCTCATAGCTTGTGCATTTGTCTTGCATTTGGCTAAAGAAATACCCATCAAGAAATACCCATCTATCTTGAATGGAAGTAAAAATATTTGCAATTGAAGGAGGAGGGGGTCGGCTTATGAAAGGTAAAATTATCGAGAAAATAGCCACAAAAGTTTGGTGACTTGTAAAGCCTGAGTGTCCTTGAAAGCTGGACATTTACATTTTTTGTGCCTTTAGTTAAACGTTTTTCGATAACATCCAAAAAAAATCTGTTTTGAAAAGAACAAAAAAGCTGTTGAGGCAAAAAAAGAAAATTCGAAAAAAATTGCCCAAAGCCCAGAAAAATGCCTGTTTCTTTGATTTCACTGTTTTGACAAGCGCCTGATTTCACCACGCTGCCTCACAAATGTCCTCAGCCGAGCCATCAACAGTCTCAACTCACAATCTGTAATCTATCCTCCATTGGGTGGCCGGCCTCACTACAGAACTCTGCAGCCAGACTGAAAAAAGATAAAAGAAAATAAAACTGAAGACAACTCACATGAGCAGGTAAGTTCAGATGAGAGGATATTTTAATCAAATTAGGATACTTGTGCAACAAGACAGCATTAAAGAAAGTATTTCAGATGAGGTGTTTTAGATGTGATAATGCACATAACACTTCCAAAACTCTTTTAATACATACATGTTCATCATATATTTACAGATAACTAGCCTGTTATACATCTGTAAGAATAAGATGAACTAGCAAATAAAAATTGTCGATTTGATTCCCAGATTCACCAAACTAAACATTATGGTACAAGCTAAGGAAAGGAACTCAACACAATTTCCCCCAATTCACTCAGTTAGTGACTTATTGGCAATCGTAGAAGGAATCTAAGGATTCAACACTACACGTCCCCAATGAGAGAACTGGGGAGGAGAATTGGAATAAAATGGCTGGCAAAGAACTTACAAAACTGTAAAGTTGTGTGAGCCTCCCATGAGAGGGGATAAACAATGGTTTAAATTAGAACAAATCAACATCCCATCATAAAGTAAGCATAGAGCATCAGGGGATATAATACATAATTTTGAAGAGGACAAAATGTGTGTAGCTTTGCCAACACAAAATGGTGTTTCCCACAACTTCTATCTTAAGAATCACACACTCCAATAATGGGCACTAAGTAGCATCATGTACTGTCTTCTTGTGAGCAAAAATCACACTGGTATATATATATATATATATATATATATATATATAGTTGCTTTAAAAGGACAAGGGGGCTATCCCGAAAAATCCTGCTTTGAGAAAATTGAAGTTAAAGCTTTAGCCCCTTGCTGAGTTTCTTTAAAAGACAAGGAGAGTTTTCTCTATAACCAAACAAATATACACACCAATGAAACCAAACTTTTTCTATAGGTAGGGCAATGGCCACTGTTGGTGTAGGGCAAGATATTTGGAAACTCCCGAAATTTGGGTTAGCCTGCTTGTCCTTAAAAGTGACCATATATATAAGCCTAAATATCTCCCTCACCCAATGGCAGAGGACAATTCATCCGTTGTACCCAATGCCTTAAAAACTGCATTGTCTTTTGGCTTTCTCACTCCAGTGAAAGTAACACTTGTACCTGAAATGAGCAAAATCAAATCAATTAAAGAAAATGAAACTTCATTTGAGCATTTTGAAATATAAGTTTAGCTTACAGCAAGAGCATCAACAATATGTGTATCATATGTGAACATGAGAAGTTCGGCAAACATCGATCAATGTGGTCACCGCAGCAAACCCACCGCACTATGGCCCACTTTTTGACTTGCTGTAGTCCAAAAGCAGTCAAAAATAAAAGTAACAATTTTTAATGAATTAAACACGATGCTCCTGTGGTAGAAAAAGCATCAGTGAAACAATAGAACGTCGATCAGTTATAACATTAACAGTAGAACTCCTAATAATGATCAGTCAAATCAGCAGAGATAAGGATGTAAACTGTGTCGTCAACATGACATGCACTATTCTGCTTCCCACCCTAAGACATTTTCTCATCCGACGTGAAGTATATTGTTATCTGGGTTTTACGGTGTGTAACGAGGCCAACTGATAGTGATATGGACCATATCATATACTCACCTTTGTCCCCAGTCTTGGTGTATATCTTGTTGTAATATCGCACCGGGGATGTCAGTGCACACACACTGAAATGACAAGGCAAAAACAAAGATATATATAATATATGTATAGATTTAGATCTATATATATATATATATTTATATATATATTTACAAATATTCATATAGAGACCTATTATATTATAAATTATTTTGTTCTCAATGTGTATTGTAATTGTAAAGTAAACATCCTAACAACTTCATTCCCTTCTCAGGGTAATGCAAAAATATAATACAATTTCTCTCTCTCTCTCTCTCACACACACACACATACACACACACACACACACACACACACACTGGTGGACATACACACATAACAACAATTACAAAAGCAATTTTGATTATTAACAAACTCAATCACTAGCAACTCTGCAATCGTGAAGTTGCTACGGATACAGTGTCCGTAACAGACAATTATTATAAACGACGAAATTCCCAGGGCCCAGGTCTCAACCGGCAACGTCAATAGCAACAACAACACAAAGTCCAACAACAACAACAAGCAACAAATCACCCCTGCAGATGTCTCGTCCCAATTCTTGCACAAAACAAGCCTAACATCGGAATCCTTGTGAAGCTCATTGCAAAGTATTAAGAAGTTTTCCGATCAAAGCTAACTGGAAGCAATTCAAGTAGAAGCTAATCCGTCCCGGACAAGAAAGGGCGTGATCGGCTCGACTGTTTTCATGAGAGTAAACAAACTGCAACAAGGACAAAAGAGAAAATGAAAGTAGCAGGGGAGATGACTCCCAGATCATTATCTAGAGTCATGCCATGTTTGTGTTTACCGGTGGCGTGATAGGAAACAGGAGCTAATGGCCTAGCAGTCGCCTTTTCCAGGTCAACAGCTGAAGAATATCTTGGTTTTTAAACCGAATGAAAACTGCTGTTGGTTTTTTATCTGTGTTACTCTTTTCTGTCTTCAAGACTCACTTGAAAAAAAAAGGCTGGAAAACGCTTGATCTAACTATATTATTGTAATTGTAATTTGGTTTCTGTGTCACATCATAGGCTTGTCTTTTTGAAAGTAGAGAAATAGACTGCTGACAACTCGACGAGATCTAAGGTCTAGACTGTACAGTAGCCCAACTAAAATAATACACACAGTGACTACAATCACAGTTTTACTGACTTAGTATCTTCTACAGACTTCGACCGCAGTTTTAAGTCTCAGTTCAAGTTTTTGAGCTGCTTGCCGCACAAATATGTCCACCTCAGCGGATTGTAAGGTCGAAGTGTCGGCGCCTGGCAAGATTATTTTTCATGGAGAACATGCAGTTGTTTATGGAAAGGTAAAATTATTTATGTTTTACTTGTACTGTCAATTAGGACAATTTAAGTAGCAGCTTATATTACTAGATATAGATCTAGATCTACTACTGCCATCGAGCAGGGATATTTTGAACGTGTCGGGTTGACAATGAGTTCGACACATGTCCACAAATATTCTAGTAAACCGTATGAAAAAAAAAAGATAAGGAGATTGAAGAGAATCAAGGGATGTAGAGTAGCAGTGACGGTATACTGTATAATGGTCAGGAGATAAGTCACTGATAGAAGGATATATTATATATATGACCATGCTCATGTCTTGTTATGGTCGTGTTGAAGCAAGAGAAAGGAAGAGGATTCAATGTTGACAGCTGATGAGCTTTGCGACTCTATAGCCTAGTAGATGGCTCCTACATCAGACCACGATCATAACGATATACTCTCTAGGCTAACCAACACGTTAGTCAGAGAATGCCATCGTCAGACGTGGGGATTTTTACATTGTGTCATGATGTCATACATGTCTGTCAGTGTCTTCGATTGGAATGTTTCATTTGGTCCCTCGATATCTTTCTTTACTTTATTTTATAACATGATAGCATTTTCATTTTTTCTCTGGACACTAGTTACTACTTACGCTTCGTAATGAGCTTTCTTTGTAGGAGAGGTTTGCTATAATTACTGTAATATAAAATTTTTAAGTTTTCTATTATGAACCTAGACTAGTAAATGATCATAGAGCCAGAAGGCCCGGTATAATTATAATTAAGATTTAGATATATTCTGATTCTTTAGCTTAGCTCTGAAACATTTCAGTTGTGGGGTGTTTAATTTTATGATGAGTCTTATTTTGATCGAGTTTTTATTTTGTTCTGAATGTACAGCCAGCCGTCGCAGCAAGTCTGAGCTTGAGAACTCATCTGACCCTGAAGGCAACAGCTGACTCCATGGTCTCGCTACAATTCCCTGACATAGGTGTGGACAAGAAGTATTCAACAAAGCTTTTACAGGATGCATTGCAGGACCTACCAACTGCAGGTAAGTGGTTTGCAAATTCTAACAGCTCTGTCAAATAAATATACAAATGTTGAGAATTTACTGCATGTATGTAATTATTGTAATGTTGAATCTTGACATATGTTTTCTAAATCTATAATTACATTTCTCAGGTACTACAAGTGAGCCTGTGCCAGCTTCGGATGAAGTGATCGCCGCTTTGAAGACATTTGCTGCCGGTGACTCTCTAGGTGCAGAGTCAAAAGAAGCCCTTGGCGTTGTAGCGTTTCTCTACTTGTACTACAGCATCACAAAAACAAAAAGGTATTTCACGTTTGCTGTGTGTAGCTTCAGTTCAAGACCTTGTGTTGTGGATTAGGAATGATTTTCAGTTAGTCTAGTGGTTACGCTGACAGACTCTGAACCATTACGTCGCTGGTTCAAACGCTGGTTTAGGTCAAAGTTTCCTTGAGAAAGACATGACTTACGTCTTTGACAATAATTTTTCGCACTTCTCCCAGGTTGAAATAGATGCATATTGAAAGATCTTTTTGGTATATTTGTGTTTTAAGACCTGTGAAATGTTATATGTACCCTTGCAATATTAAATTGACCGCAGCATAAAGCCTTTAGAGCAGATTTTTAAAATCTATTATTATTGTCATATTATCATCAATTTTCTGATTAGTAAAATGTCCATCATTTAATGTCATGTACACCTCTGTTGTTTCAAACATTTATTAGCTACTGTTATAAATGTGTTGTCATTTTGACTTTTTCTTCTCAGAGTTTATTTATGATTAAGTGATGTTTTATTTTGTTATTTCCTGATATTCATGCCTATATTTGTTGCTTCACGCTTTGATCAACTGTCTTTTACATATCTTTTATTCCTTGTTCATCCCAGCGGTCTGCCATCGCTGTCTGTCCAGGTGGTCTCGGAGCTGCCCGTCGGGGCAGGGCTGGGGTCGTCGGGTGCTTTTTCCGCCTCTCTGGCCGCGGCGTTTTTGCAGGTGAGGCTCAGATGTTCTACTTTCTGCTCTGATGGAAGTTATCTTTTTTTTACTTTCCTTTGAAACATATTTTGCTGTGGTATCTGTTTGTGGTTCAACTCCATTAGGGACTCGTTAATGAAAACGATTTTCATTTGGGCTCTTCTACTTTACCAATGATGTCGCTGTGTGTTTTACAACTGGTCAGTCACTTTTTCTCACGTCTACATAATGTAAAATATAATGTTATGCGTCAGCGTGCGTGTTCTCAGCATTTTATAACAGCTCCTACATGTAGTCTTTCTCTTAGATTCACAACATTTTCCTCCTCCATGTTTATAATTAATTGTCGTCATTGAATTGTTTTTTTCATGTGTGTTGTGTATTTCCTATATTGTAACTTGATTTTGCAAATGATAAAAAAAAATCATGTGACACTGTCATTTGTCACTGCTTTATTACTAAAAAGTTTTTGTGCTATAGTTTTCAGGTGCCATAAATGCAGAAAAGGTGGACCAGTCATTCGCGGAGTGGTCGGCGTCACAGAAAGAGCTGATCAACAAATGGGCGTTTGTCGGGGACAAGGTTATCCACGGTCAGCCCTCGGGGGTCGACAACACCATCAGCACCTTTGGTAAGTCTGTCTCAAAAAAAAAAAAGTCTGTCCCTGTCATTTTATGCAAGAAAAATTATGAAAGTATGCGAAATGAGCCCAAAATTGTGAAATTATGCGATTCTGTTAATTCTGTCAAAGAATGATAAAGGAAAATAATCAGAAATTAATGAAAAAAATGATTAAATTTTGCTTAATTATGCGGGGTGCATAAAACCATGTGTGTACGTGGTGAAACACCAAATCAATGTGCCAGGATCTGGACCAAAAAGATGTATCTTATAAAGATGTATATTATCGTAGAAGTGAAATTTATTTATTTATTTATTTTGTCTATCCTAGTTCCCAGGTACCTTGTTGACCGGGAACTTTTTAAATTAAATAATGCAAGGTGATCAGCATATATCTTTTTTTTTTTTTTTTTTACTCTTTCCAGGTGGTGCCATTAAGTTTATGAAAAATGAGAAGAATCCGATCACGCCCATCAACAAGTAGGTATAGCATTTAAGTGCTGAATATACTGAGCAGTTTATTAAAAATTACTGTATTCTTTTTTTTTTAAAGATGTATTTTCTGTTACTTTCTTTCACCTTCACTGTCTAATTCTTTAAGACACTTGTCTTTATTTTATGCGAGCAGTTTTGAGAGAAAGACTTGTATGTCAGTGAATTACAAGAACAGAAAGTGGGTTGAAAAAAAAACCAACCCTCATAATTATATGTGGTTGTCGTCTCTGAGAAATTTCCTAAAAACTCTCACTGTTGTCTGTCCGGGAAATAGAGCTGCTGTTGTTGTTGCGCTTCCTACCTTTAGTCCAGTGTCATGGGGTTCTAGGAACTCAAGTTTTGTTCAATTATTGTGTGTGGGTGATCGGCGGGTGCTGTGGTGTGGTGTGCTTTTTTCCCATAAAGCATCTGTCGTCTTTATCTCCCCTCCTTGTTTTTTATGTTTGTTACTCTCTTGTAACAAGTCCGGGTTCAAGCCTCGATTCGGACACAGATTTTTTCCGCCCCCTCCTGCCCACCCAGCAGTAATGGGTACCTGACTTCGAGTTGGGGAAGTAAAGGCGGCGTGGAAAGGAACTGGCCACCCTACCACAATATGCCGAAGGTCCAGGAAGTTGTCTCACTAACAAGGCAGTCCTCAATGTCCGGATTGGATGCGGGAACAGCTTTTCTTTTTACTCTCTTGTAACACCTCTAATCTTCGGCACTTATATGACCTTATTGTGTTGCAAGCGATGGAAACTCTTACTAAAACAAACAAACAATTATTGTGAAGTTCCATTGGGTGTTTTCTATACATTTGATCTCAAAGAGAAATGAGTCACTATGATGTTCTTGTTCTTAAAAGTTGGAGGTATATTTTGGGGGGAAATATGTTTTGTTCTTTCCATCTTTCCTGCATGATTTGTTACATGTGAGTGAACAATGAATCTGTCAGAGATAGTATTGTCTTGTGTGTGTGTTCTATTTGCTGTGTATTTTTGTCTGTATTTCACTCCTCTCTTCCAGTCTTCCATCGTCTTTGTCTTTATCTATAATCTCACTCCTCTCTTCCAGTCTTCCATCGTCTTTGTCTATATCTATAATCTCACTCCTCTCTTCCAGTCTTCCATCGTTTTTGTCTATATCTATAATCTCACTCCTCTCTTCCAGTCTTCCATCGTCTTTGTCTATATCTATAATCTCACTCCTCTCTTCCAGTCTTCCATTGTCTTTGTCTATATCTATAATCTCACTCCTCTCTTCCAGTCTTCCGTCGTCTTTGTCTATATCTATAATCTCACTACTCTCTTCCAGTCTTCCATTGTCTTTGTCTATATCTATAATCTCACTCCTCGCTTCCAGTCTTCCATCGTCTTTGTCTATATCTATCATCTCACTACTCTCTTCCAGAATGCCCACATTACCCATCATGCTAGTCAACACAACAGTTCCCAGGAGCACCAAGGCGCTAGTGGCAAAGTTCCGACAGAAATACGACACGGTAAGTCTGTTTTTTATGCACACAGAAATATACTTTTAAAAACTAACATGTCAGGTACATGACAGTTGATGCTATATTTACAGCGAGTTAGTTTTGTAAGAATGAAAGGTCATAATATTAGTCAATGTGGCTGTCTTCTACTCAAATACCACAGACCTGTTGTATAAAAATTGTGTTGCGACAATTCACTGATTGGCAGCAATGTGTCTGGTTTCCCAAACCAACTACTTACATACATTATTAGTTTATAGCTGTACCATATTTGAAGTGTGCTGATAAAATGAGTTACTTCTCGCAATCCACAAATGGAGATATTTGGCCTAAAATCGACATTTTGGTCAAATTTGTAGATATTCTCTATTGATGCCATATTCTTTAAGTATAACATGCCTTTTTATTATTTCATACTTATAAATGATAAAACTTCACCTGTGAATGAGGTCGATGTATCTATTTCCATACGGCTGGAATCCGAGAAGCAACTCATTTTGTCGGCACCCTTCACATTTTTTAGTTGTCTCTTCCAAAGATGTAGGCCTATAGCCTAGAGATTTTTACCAAAGCTTGCTCAGCTAAAAATGAACTCCTCAAATTTGGGAATGACTTACTTCTGTTTCTCTCGTGGTTTCCCTCAGTACCGAGATGTGTGTGACCCCATCCTACAGGCCATGGAGTCTATTGCCAACAGGAGTCTGGACGTCTTTACTGAACTTTGCGATAAGCCCAGTGAAGGTTGCTATACGTCCCTCGCGGTAAGTTCAGAGCTTTGAATCATGAATGTTTTCCTGCACTGTGAATGGATCGCTGGAGTGCTTTGTCGTTCTTGTCCAAGGACAGACTTTTGAATTTCTTTCTTGTATTCAGAGAGTGAGGGAATTCCGTCAAATCTTGATAAAAGCTTTGTGTGGATTTGAAGACCAGGAGAGGACAAATATTGGTACTCTAAATTGATAACCCACTTTTTGTGTTGCGTGTACAGTAGTTCTAAAGTTTGTTTTGAATTTCATTTTGACAACAGACATATTTATAATTTTCCAAATAATGCTTATTTCAACAATCTGAACTAGGCTATACTGAATCAGGTTTGTAATATTTATATAAACTAACTGTAAACTATACAGCGTCGCATTAATAATAATTGTTACTGTACTGTATCACCAGTGTATGAAACATTTTGTTACAGTCAACTGGACTACGTGTATCACTTTATAACGATCAAAGATACAACGCTATGTATAACATTTTGTTACAGTCAACTTTTACCGAATGTACCATTTTATAAGTTAACTGTACAGCGCTACATAGTGCATTTTGTAACATTTCGTACCACTTTGTAACATTTCGTAACATTTGGTAACTGCGCTAACTCCCAGGACCTGGTGGACATGAACCAACAACTGCTGGACCTGATGGGCATGGGGCACCCCGCCCTCGACCAGATTGTCTCCGTCGCCGCCAAGAACGGACTACACGCAAAGCTGACCGGCGCTGGTGGTGGTGGTTGTGCCTTCGTCCTTATTCCTCCGAGTAAGTTCTGTCGTTCCTTGTCTCCTTTTTTCTGTCATTCCTTCTGTTGTTCCTTTTGTTCTTCTCTAACACTGACAGTTATGTCCTTGCTCCTAGGTCTGGTACACATTTTTTGTGTTGTGCTCTGTAAATGTGTCGGTCTGTGTGTGTGTCTGTCTGTCTGTCTGTCTGTCTATCTATCTTTCTGTCTGTCTGTCCATCTGCCTGTCTGTCTGTCTGCCTGTCTGTCTGTTCTGGTGACGTTGATGGTTTTGCGGAGACACCTCATTTCGCATGCATTGATTAAAAAAAATTTTTTTTTACCTGCTCCATTCCTAGTAGAAAATGTTCTTTTCTTTTCTGACTTCCCAGGTACCGAGGCGTCTTGTCTGGAGAAGTTGAGGTCAGAGCTGGAGAGTTTGGGTCAACAGGTGTGGATGAACGCCACGGTGGGGGGTCACGGGGTGCGCAGACATTTGTGATGTTTCTCGGCCCGTGGGTGTGGGGAGGGGGTGAGGGGGGTCACGGAGTGCACAGACATTTGTGATGTTTCCCGGCCTGAGGGTGTGGGGAGGGGGGGGGGGGGTCACGAGCCACAGCTGAGCTCTGGGAGGAAGCCTCTATCTGTCCCCGCGGTTTTATGCACCCAAAAAAATATTAGGAAATTGTACAAATTGAGCCCAAACATGTGAAATTATGCGATTCTGTTCATTTTAACACAGAATGACAACGGAAAATAATCCGAAATTATGCAAAAAATGATAAAATTTTGCTTAATTATGCGGGGTGCATAAAACGGTGGGGACAGCTCTCTATAGTTTGTTCACTTTCGCCTGACTGCAGTTACAACAAGATAAAGTGAAATGACTCTGTTCAATCTTCTCCGATCTTTGCATACGGGTCTAAAAGTGGGGTGGTCAACAGAATCTATAAGTCCATTTGTAAAAGTCACTGCAGACTGAGGTTCCCACAGTTTTCTTTGATGTAAGCCTAAAGCGGGTCAAAAAAATAATAGGGGATTTCCAGCCTACACGTAAGACATTCAAAAGTTGACATATTTTCCTCAACACCACACTTTAACGTTCGCCAAAGAAACACAATTCAAGAGACGGGGTGAGTGTTTTTCAAGACTCACGTGGAGCACGTGGAGACGTCTAGACAGCCGGGGGATGAAATCTTCAAGCTTACACTGAAATGTGGGGGCAGGGTGGTGTCGCTGTCTCAAAATGAGCTATTTGTTGGCAAGATTACTGTAAGTCATTTATTTTAATTTTAGTGATCCTGTGTATGTATCCACAGAGGGGATTTTTAATATGGGGTCCAAAGAGAAAAACTTTTTTATTACTGGATCAAGATTTTAAAAAAAAAAATTTCTGTTTGGTCATTGGCCTTCAAAAATGCCGTGCAAAGTTTCATGGGTGTAGGTTTATTTCCTCAATGAGCTAGAATGTTTTTAGCTCGGTCAGATGAAAGTGAACAAGCTGTAACTATCAAATTTTACCAAGAGTCTTTAGAAGTGTTTGTACCAGCTCTACGCAGGACTGCCAGAATTTTTTGAATGGGTTATGGAAAAAGTGATTTGAATTGTTGTTGATTTTATGATTATTATTGTTTCAGGGTGTTTTTTCTTCTTAGAATAACAAATTCCTTTTCACACTTTCCTGTTACCATTCTTTGCTAACTATGACAGCCCATTTGTTCAACTTCCTAGGTGTTTATGTTATTTTGTGTGGATGGTTGGCGGGTGCTCTGGTGTGGTTTGCTCCTTCTTTCCTATCAAACATCTGTCGTTCTTATCTCTCCTCCTCCTTTTTGTGTTTGTTACTTTCTTGTAACACCTATATTCTTCGGCACTTATATGACCTTATTGTGTTGTAAGTGCCGTTAAACTCTTACTAAAACTATAACTATGTTCTTTTGTGGTTGTGAAAGAACTTGATTTTGGCCGGGTTGAACAGGAAAGGGTTAAATAAATCATCATCATCATCATCATCATCATCATCATCATCATCATCATCATCATCATCATCGCCTCTCTCCCCTTGGGTCAAGGAATCCGGCCACCAACAAACACTTTCCGTGAGTGGTTGGCGGGTGCTCTGGTGTGGTTTGCTTCTTCTTTCCTATCAAAATCTGTCATCCTTATTTTTTTATGTTTGTTACTCTCTTGTAACACCTCTAATCCTCTGGCGCTCATATGACCTTATGCAGTTGCGGGCGCCGCAAAACCTCTACTAAAACTTTTAAAAACATTTTCCGCTTTTCTCTATCCTGGGCTAGCTACCGCTCCCTGACTTTATTCCACGACTTTCCACTTTTCTCAACATCATTCTCTGTTTGTTACTCCTCTGGAAGTTCCATAGGGTCTTTCTCTTCATCTCTTACCCTGTTGATTCCTGTCCAGCACTTTCTTTGTTAAATGATCTTTACTTTTCCGATCCAGCTTTCTTTGTTAAATGATAAAATAGTCAAATATTTTTTGTTTGACTTTATGGGAAAGGAGGCAGTTTATTCTTTGCAACTTTATGCTCATAACATTGTTATTAATTATTGTCCCTTTGTGGAGAAAGAGGGAATTTCTCGAGTCACGAGCGATGGGTCAGGGTAGAATTGGTTTGTTCCTTGTTTCCTTTTGTTTTTTACGACAATCGCAAAAGAACGCTCAAATGATGGGTGAGGAGCTCTCCCTCAGAGATTTGGCTTACTTCTGTGCCATACTTCTTGACTGACAGCTGATCACCTGTTTACTTGTTGTTGTTGTTGTTGTTTTTTTAAACATGACAAATTTTATTTTATTTAACTTTAATTTTATTCATGTCAACTTCTTGAAACCGGTGGCTCGTTTGCTCCATAGGACTAGGATGTAGTATTTTGAGGTGTTTGTACAAAATTCTGTAGAAGTACCATTATTAAAATAGTTGCAAATGAATTTTCACTTAAAAAACTGTACCCCTTATTATAATCAAAATAGCATGAACATAAGAATCAACATTCCAGCCTCAAGCTTTGTATTATTTCTGTTTTGAATTAAAAGTATCTTGTGCAACCCTCACCCCCTATCTAAATTGTCTGCTTACTGTTTGGGAATCGTAAAGAATTGCTTTGGTAAGGGGCTGAACCATTGCCCTACCGCAGAAGTACAAAGATCTATCTGACATTTTTGGCCGTTTTGAGTTACTACGACCGTGTGGTAAGATACCAAATATTCTATCTCAATCTGCTCTATCACAATCTTAAGATTTTTCGGAGTCATTATCAAGATATTCAAAGAATTGCTTTTGAAAAAGCTTGACTGACATGTTGTGGAACTCAACATCTTTGATGACAAATGTCTCAAAACTTGGCACTGAGCAGATAGAACAGTGTAATTCTGAGGTAGCGATTGGTTTATGTGCTGGACAATTTCCTGGTTCCCAGAGTTGAGTATCAAACTATGCAATGTCGCTCTCGACATCGAATACTTTTTTGACTTGTAATGTCTTACGATGCTCAAATTCTTTGTCGTTTTGTGGTTTTTAAAATTGTTGTTTGTTGCAGAAATTAAACAGATATGAAGATGAACGAATAATTTCTTTGTCGCCTTTCCTTTTTTCTAGAGATGTGAGCTGGGGGGTTCTCGTGGCCTAGAGGTTGAGGTGTTCGCCTCTCATTCAATAGGTCCTGGGTTCGAATCCGGATAGCAACCGAAAATGTTCTTATCTAACCTTTTCCCCTTTCACATCCTTTCGTGCTCTCTAACCGTGCTCTGTTGTCTGCTTTCATCTCCACTTTCTACCCCCACCTCTCCTTCTTGGCCCCCTCCTCTGGGCTCCTGGCTCATTCTGCAGCCTTTCTACTGCTACTCCATGGCTCCTTCTTACTGCTGTCTTTCAGCCACACCCCTAAATCTTAGGGTAGGTAAGATCTAACACCTAGCCTTCTTGGGTAACGGCGAATAATCTCGGAGGTTCTGTGTGCAAGTTGCGCATGATAAAGATCCCTTGGTGGTCCTAAAATCAATAAGAGTAGGCTTCAGCCTCCACCCACGCTCAAAATTCGAAATTAATTTCTACCAAACCGTAAATGCTAATGTGTCCATCGTGCTCATATGACCTTATGCAATTGCAAGCACTGTAAAACACTTATTGAAAAAAAGACAGAATGAACCAGCCATGAACGATGCTGCTTACAAGAGGTCTGTGGCTGACAAACCATGAACGACAAACTTTGAAGCTGTTCACGACAGTCTATCACAGCTTCGAAGAGCCATTAGTACATGTGGTCGCTTTCAAGGACAAGCGGGCTAACCCAGATTTCGGGGGTTTCCAGAAATCTTGACCTACACCAAAAGTGGGCATTGCCCTACCTATAGAAGTTTGGTTTCATCGGTGTGTATATTTGTTTGGTTATAGAGAAAACTCTCCTTGTTTAAAGAAACTGAACAAGGGGCAAAAACTTTACCTTCTATTTTCTCAAAACAGCATTTTTCGGGAAAGCCCCCTGGTGCTTAAAGGCGACCATGTATGCATTAACAAACAATCCCCAATAATTGTAAAACTACAAACAAAACGAAGACAGTGATGAAAAGCAAAGCTCAAGCTTTATTTAAATATCTCTCTTAGAATTTTATTACTAATCATGAGTAGTATGCAATAGATAATAATGTTAATAAAAAATATGTGTAATAATGGAAATAATAACGGTAATAATAATAATATAATAAAAATAATTTATAAAAATAATACTAGTATAATAATATCTTAATTCAAGATGGATCGCGTGTACAAAAATTCTGGTTGTTATTTTAAGCCTGTGAAATGAACGAGGCCAGGAATCAGCTTCCACAATAGCATGATAAGACAATTAAATCGTAACAGACATAAGACATACATACAGACAGAATTTCACGACAACTCGGAAATTGCCAAAGAGAGCGTGCATGGCACAAACTGACCACCTGAACACAACAACAGACACACGTATCAACTTCACAGGGTGGACGTCAAGTGTGACTCTTGCTTTAGTAAAAGTTTTACGGCACTTGCAACACAATAAGGTTATATAAGTGCCGAAGATTAAAGGTGTTACAAGAGAGTATCAAACACAAAATAGAAAGACGGGAGATAAGGACGATAGTTGTCTGATAGGAAAGAGGAAGCAAACCGCACCAGAGCACCCGCCAACCACCAACGATTATTTCTTTATTTTTGCTGTGCACCCTCGTAAAACACCAGGATAAGCTATATCGAAGACAAAGTGTTGACGTCTCTAACAAGGAACCAGGCATAGAAATCGATTTTTTATAAGAAAGAAGGAGCAAATCACACCAGAGCACCCATCAATCACCCACACGGCAAATACTCATATAAAACATACGACTATTATAGTCTATATACCAAACTAGAGGGCAGCACTAGGGTAACGGAGAAAGTATATATATAAAGTACTGGTATTGGACTTGAACAGTGAACAGAACTGAGACTAAGGAAATCCTAGGGTAAAAATGTAAAGGTGGAAATAAACACATAAAATAAAGACATAAGAAATGAATACAGACATAAGAAATACAGACATAAGAAATAAATACAGACATAAGAAATAAAGACATAAGAAATGAATACAGACATAAGCAATAAAGACATAAGATACAGAAGTTCAGTTCAAAATGTTGGGTACAATGGTCTCCATAAATAATACGCTTGCTCAATACCATACGATAAAGGCCACATTCATTCCTCTAGAGAACGAAGAAT